GTCAAATTGACGATGATATATAAACTCGTCAAACCTACTTAGATGGCATTAATTTCGCCATGGTATTACTTGATTTGCGGTCAACGTATTGGCAAAGTTTCGTCAATCTAAGTGCGTCACAAATGCGTGTGGTGTCGTTTTAAATTATTTGATCATCGGAAACTCGTAATTACATGTTATCATTTTAAGTAGATATTGTGCCTTAGAAACGCCAGCTACCATCTGACAGTTGTAGCCACGGCAAACACATTTAGCAGAATCGACTGCAGACAATTCGCATATTTCTAGGAAGAAGGCAAATGATTGGACCATTCTACATTCAATGAAATGTGTCCGGCAGAAAGGAATGGCGAACTGGCTAGAAATGAGACAGCACTCCTCCATTTCAGCACATTTGAGATCAAACTGACTGACCAGCACTCTTCAAATGCGCTGAAAAACCTTGGTCCACGCAGCAACTTAATGGAACGATCGTAAAAACTTCTCCCAAAATCATTGGTGACTTGAGTAGGCTTAATTACTGCAGGCATATACAGGTGCTGTAAATCGCGTTGATTACCACTCGGTAATCAGGTTACGCCAGCTTCCGACACAAGGTCCCCCTTTTCGCGTAAGTCTTGATGCTAATTTTGATGTTTACACATTAATGACTCGAGCTGTTTTCACACATTTGACCTATGAATACATCCGCGCACACGCCACACACACAACTTCGACTTGGCCAAATTCTCGAATAAAGAGTTGACTCTCTGCCCCCCCACTGACTTCATCCTTGTTGGGTATGGCACAAAGGCATAAACGCGCAAAAATAATTATCAGGTTACCGTAAGAGATTAAATTAAGTAACCTTTAGATTTGTGGGGTATTTTCGTGATTTGCATCCCATGCAATAAATTGCACCCAGTTTACCAGCATAAAAATTTGAAGGTCACAGCACTGACCAATTAACGCGCTTGGTTTTGGGGTGGTCCAGGATCGGAATCGTTAGAAAAACAAAATAACTGCTTAAACACGTACAAACTGAAGCGCGTGTCAGAATTTCAGGTCAATCGTCAGATGAATTCCAATTTTAGACTCGATCGAAAAGCGCTCAATTTCAAGTTTAATAAAACAAAGTTCAGAGGCGCGTATTTTAAATTTACCGAAAGTTTCTGCTGTGTCAAGGTATAGTAGCTGAAACTGCCATATTTTCCAAATGAAAGCAAAACCCACCGGTTTTTTGCTTTGCCCAAACAAAATTTTACTGGATGGAGGAAGGACGTGGCTTATTCTGCCTTCCACTGGCTAAAACCGCAGTTTTAAGCAAAAAGTTAACTCGGCATTTAAATTTTATTAACCACCGCAGAAAAGTAAGTCTTCCGATGCACATTTCCGTTTATTTGTGCGCGTAAGTGGAAAAGGGAATAGAATGTACACCCTGCCGTTTGTTTTCTTGCTTAGTGGAGTGGGCCCGAATTCGTGAAAAAACTAAAAGCCCGTTGATTCAGCCCCACCAGTATTGATTAAAATTAGGTATATTGCAGTTTTGAATGCCACTCACTCTGAAACCAATCCTGATTGGTTCGAATAAATTCATCATCAAGTGGTCAGTTCAAGGTCGATTTGGTTTGTCGTCGGAATCGATTTTTGTGAAAATGTCACTTACAACCTGTTTGTGGGAGGTTAAATTGTTAAAGACCAATGACTAGACTGCCAAGGGAAGCGTTAATTTCGAAGACTGGGCCAGCATTGTATTTTAGGGAAAAGTCTTACCCTTCACAATCAATTCACGTTTTCATATACCTGGACATCACCGTCCAGAGGCATCCAAGTTCTACTGACATCCAAAGAGGCTAAACTTCTCAATAATTTTACGCACAATTTGCTTCTCACCCACCAACGTCCCATGTTCTTTAAGTTGTCATTCCTAAGATACAGATTGGTGTGACTAACTTAGAAATTTTGACACCTGGCCTAACCTAGGGTTGTAACTATGAGCATTAGAGGATTACAATGCAATTAATTTTATTAATCATCATTAAGTTAATTGAAAGCAGAGTTGCTGTGCCGCCAGTATAACACGGCACTCCGAAAGCGTGAAATGGTGAAATATGCAAATTGTGAGACAGTATGTACCACATTTCGCGTTGACAACCTGTAGTTTTACCGCACATGTGTAAGGCCAGACTTAAAATGCATCATTTTTGGATTCAGTGATTTTATTCTGCAACTCACGAAGTTCTCAAAACATGCGATTACTCGGGATCAAAGAATTCGGAAAATATCAGTCATCGGCTGGTATCGATTTCGCGCAAAATTGATCGGAAAGGAAAGTGTTTTTAAAGTATGAGCTCACGTGCTCAGTCTTCAGTTTCATGTGACAAAATTGTACTCTGTTAGATTGTCTGGTGACGTCAAAATTAACGGTTACTCTTGAAAATAATTCCGTTGTAGATGCACACGAAAAACAGGCATCAAGTCGAAGGTAGAAGGATTCTATCTCTAGTGTCCTATGAGGGTAATTGATGTCTGCGTGTCGATATACGATGCTTCATAAATTCGTCGTACAAGATTACACGCGATTGATATATCCTATTAGCAGATGAATTCACATACCCTCAGATAATCCTTGACAATTTCTACAACGAAATCCGAAGCTTGTTTTGAGTGGTAGCTGGAACAAATCCAGCATAAACACTTTGCAGTGCCGGCAGTCGGCGCGTTCGTTTGTTTAAAGTTTTAAAAGACGCGCCCCTTTTAATGTGTTTATTCAAACAATGCGAAATACTTTTCGCAAGTCGGGTTTTTCGAGTGCTGTACAAAGAAACAGGAGAATGCATTTAAAAATGCCTTCTAATTTCGTTTGAACGCCGCACGTGAATGCCTAAAAGCGTGATGAGTTATGTTCCGAGCTAATGCAGCACTATTAATGCACATTTCAGTAAATCACACAAGATGTTATGGTCAGGCGTTTCTCTCAATTGAAATTTTACATGCGTGATGGCACCTGAGAGCAAACTTTGAGCACATCTGAGACGCCGAATTGATCTGCTTAGTTTAACGATGGTGAATTTTAGTTTTCAGAACCAATTGATGATGCGTTGTCGCGTGGTTACCTTTGGTAATCAACTAATGACCAAAGTGGTCGAGAAACGAGCACATGCAATATGCGAAAATGCTCTTTCCAACACGAGTTATCGCTAAGACAAACACATTCGGTGCGAGGGGGTGGCATTTCGCAACATCGGCCTCGCGAACCAAAAGCCACGCACAAGAAATGCACTCGGTGACATGTACCACCCTATTGTCCTGTGAAAGTTCCAATCGGCCACATGCGGACGAAAACAAGGCCAAAACGGGTACACTCTGTCCCCCTGTGCGCGCAAAATACGCCCCTGTATGCCCACATATATCGCAACACATGGCTACGACCAACTCGAATTTCGCTGGTTTGCTTAAAGTGAGAGTGCAGTAGGCACATGTAACCGCAACTCATTTCATCGATTTTTTTAAATACACACGTAGATGAGTCGGCATCATTGGTCGATGCCAATCTGATCAATGGCATTTAGGCCATCACCTGATTGGCTGAGGTGCGGTGGAGCGGCAACTTCAAACTGACTAGCATTGGAATATTGCCAGTGATGAAATTCCAAGTACGTTTTAACAACTGGAAAAAAAATGCAAATCAGTTTAGATGGCTAATTTACAGACTGTTTGAAGGGTAATTTGTGAGTTGCAGAGCAGCGACCACTTCAGATTTGGCGCAGCTGTCAACTGAAGCCGTGGATGCGTCGTTTATTTTGCTGGCATCCACAAATTGCTTGCAATTAAGACCTATGCTACCACCTTCTTTTTCCCAAGATTAACATCCGTGGGTGCAGTGTGCCTGTGTGTACATTGAGAGAGGGAGGTAGACCTGATTAAACCCCACATTGGAGAGGCGCGAGCCGCGAATTACTGCGTGTATGCACCTGGAAATTCTCATCCATCTCCCACTACTTGTTGTCCGATTGCAAGAAAAATCGCAGGTGGACGACTTCGGACAAAGCTAAACAGTAAGTCCAAATCACAACACACCAAGGGGTCCTGTGTTTTAATGGGTTTTGACAGTGACGCGAAGCTTGATGTGATTGGAGCCCTGACCACCCATTCGTTGAAATGTGCTTGAATAGCCAAAATAGGGTGTCAAATAAAGGGCATATCAAATCCCCGGAAAGGCCAGTTTAACTTGAAAGGTCAAGTATACAAACAAGGTAAAAACTTCAATTAGCATGCCCAGGCAGCAGTTTTTTTTTCAATTTCGATTAGCAAAAGCAGAAATGTGTGTGGACGTGCTAAATTGGGCCTTTAGTAGCAGGCGTTTCGCGCTGCGTAGTTGGTTCTAATTTTCTCTAAAAAGAAACGCATTCCCGACTTTACACACGGTTTATTGGCCGATGTCGTACCAATGAACGCAGCCAGAGCTGACCTATCGGCACGTAGTAACCTGAGTGCTCATGTGTATTATTGCAAAATTTGACTAGAATTGACTCTTTGTAAGGAGGACAGCTAGCAAAATTATACGACCAGAGCGCATGGCGCACAAATTTATTGTTCCTAATTTATGGTTTGGGTGATCTTCGCCAGATGAAATGAGTTTTTTGAGTGAACACGAACACGGTGTGACCGCAGAGTTGCATTTGAAATGTTGTGACTGACGTAATCGTGTACGGAGAGAGGACAATGAAGTGAACAGCCACAACTCTCTAACGTAGAAACGCCATCCGACTTTGCAAATCACACACGCGTCGCGTGCCTCCATGGCAACACAGGGCCCCTCACATCCCCTTTCGTGATCCGTTTAAGGCTATTTGACCTTGATAAGACACCAGAGGAGAACCCCACTTGAAAAGGCATACACAGTCTCAAATCATTTCTTCGCGTAAAAGAATAAAGGAGAGGTAGCAAAAAACAGACAGACTGCGTTTGTGTGTGTACAAGGAGACGCGCGTGACCCGGGGGGGTGCGACACCTGCCCCCTAGCTATCGTTTCTTTCCTCGGTGTCGTCGTCAGCAGCACTGGCAGGCACCTCCACCTCCTCTTCGGTTTCCCACGAGGAGTCGGTTCCACTCCCGCCCGATCGATCGTCGGTGGCGTCATCGTCGTCACCTTCGCTGTCCGAATCTGTCGAAGTGGATGACGACGACGACGACGAACCGACCAGGTCCACCTCGTCCTCCTCATCGTCGTGATGGCGATCGTCCTCCTCGTCGTCCTGTTCCTCATTTTCAAGCTCCCTGTCACTCTGAAACGACGATGAAAGTAACCGTGTATTCAAAAGAATTCAGTAGGTGGATTAATTCGAACTCAGGGATATGGCAAAGGTAGAAAATAGGAAGGCGGCTCACTCGTTTCCGTCCAATGGCGTAAATGCGGCACTGGGTAATCGGCTCATTGGCACTCTTCTCACCCAGCTTCTCGACAAGCGCCAAGTGGAGACCGCTGGTGTCGAGAGCAAGCTGTTCAATGCGGTGTTTCACGTCTACCGAGGCGATCAGGCTGTAGTCGACGGCGTCAACCGTCCGGAACATATTCTGCATGGCCAGACGGCTGTTCTGTCCCAACTCGTCCAACACATCGTCGTAATCCATTCCAAATATGCCTGGTAAACAACAAACGTGCACACTCCAAGACGACTCTTTTTCGGTGGAAAAAAACGATCGAAGACGCAACTAACCAGCATAGATGACATCTGAATTGTCCGAAAAGGTAACTTCCAACTTGTCAAGCGCCTGAACAGTGTGCAAGAGTCGCCAAGTTCGCATGTCCCACACCGCGGATCCAACCACCACCTCCAGGCCGTTCGGATGGAAGACGCCCGACACGAGGTCCTGGAATTTGTCGATTTTGTGGACTGGACGCGGAGACGAGACGGAACCGCTGCACCGGGTGTCCCAAACCACGCCATCGTTGAGCACTAGACGGTCGTCCACGGAGAACGTCGCCTTGTTCATTATGTAGTCGCTCTGCTTCACTGAGGAGAAGAGATCAGCGATTCGCTGACCCGTGACAAGGTCATACACCTGAAGTATTTCACCAAAAAAGCCTTGATGCGCAATTAAAAGCAAATCTGATCGTGAATCACACAGAAAGAGTGTGGTTAGGTGTCGTACCTTAGCCACTTTGCCGTAAGTTGCGACTATCTTGTCTTGCAGTCCTGTTCGACTGAATTCCGCGTACCTCGCGTCCTCCGCGGTGAACCTAAAATCGATAGTAGGTAAGAACAGGACTGCGTCCTCAAACTGGACACTTTCAACCAACCACTTGTTGTAATTGGCCTACAACCTAGTCGACCATCCTGATTGGCTCTTTTTCTCAAAGGTGATTGGCTAAAAAGAAGACTTACATGGGATCATCGGCGTTGGTTGTCCAGGGAGCAGAAGCGCTAGTGGTGTTGACGACATCGGAGGTGGGTGAGAGGCGGGTCACAATCAGCGCGGGTTCGCCCCAGTCCGCGCAGACAAGCAGACGCCGGCCGTCCCTCGAGTGCTCCAGACGGCTGATTGGTGAGGTCTGGGCGCGGAACAGCTCCACAGGTAAGCCCGCCTCCTCCACGTTCACCCAGCACACCGAGCCCGAAGACGTGCCAAGGAAGGCGCCCTCGTCGCCGCATTTCTAAGACAAGAGGATCGGTTATTCAGGGTGCCACGTGGGCGCCTACTCCAAGCACAAGGCATGCTCACCGAGAACGAAACCGCGGTGTAGAGGTCGTCTTCGAGGTCACGCACGGTGTACGCCGGGGTGAAGCGACTGTGAATAAACCGTCGGACGAAGCGTTGAGGCGCGCAACGCATGCGATGGCACTTGATAACCGTCTCGCGCGCGAACACGAGTCGAGCGAGGTCGGAGATGGGACCGGCCCAGGTGTCCGCGCGTGGCTCCGGACAGCGATGCGGATGGTGGAGGGAGAAACGGGGGCACACCGAGACGGGGTAGGGACACTGGGCGTGTTGATGCAACAGGAAGGACTCCACAATCTTCGACAGTGACATCTCCGGCTCACTGCCGTTGCTGGGCACCACCGCACTGGATTGAGGCTGCTTCAGGTACAGATTGCCAGCTGCCGGTGTGCGTTCCAAACGATCCCTGTACACCTAGACGGAAATCTCCCTGTCAACAATGCAGGAGGTCGTTTTGCTAGACAGTACAAGGAGGCTATAACTGGTATCGATTTCTGTTTGAACGCCGAGCAAACCGACATGACAAGACACCGGCTCACAATCGATTGAGACGGCGAGACAGGAGTTTGGTACCTTTGGAGTGCTCAGTGCAGCGTTGGCGACGGGTTTGATCTTGTTCACGCGAACAGAGGGCGTCGTGGACTCGGAAGACGTCGTGGTGGTGGTGGTGGTGCTGGTGGCAGCGCCAGTGGATTGGTGATTGAGGACGGCGGTGGCAGTCGCACTGGTCTCCAAATCGGAGTCGTCGTCGTTGCTGAAGAGGGGCAATTGGTGCGGCACCGCGTTCTCCAGACGCAGACGCGCCTCCTGTTGGAGGGTCGACGCTGTTTTGTGAAGCCCTGCAGAGTCAAATCACGATTGACGATCACACTGATCATACGGTATAGCTACTTGGTCGTAGAACGGACTGACTTCAGCACAAATTCCACTTCCTACACATGCCTCTTCAATGCCCTCAACGTGTGTGATCTTCCTGGAAGCGTGTTAGTTGATTTCATGCATTGCGAGTGATTAATAACGTGTGGTCTGAAATGGTATCAGGCGGAAATGATCGTGGATCAGGCGGGATGAACCAGCACAAACCACTTTGATGTCAAGGAGATGCGTCAAAATCTCTGTCTGCTTCAATAGAAAAAAAGCATATTTAAAATTGAAATATTTCTGCGGTCTTTTGTGTTTTTGAAAGGATCGGACGCTAGTTCGCAAAACACCGAACGACAGGTCTGCGTGAGTTACACAACCACTCACAGTAGCCGAGTTTACGACGGCAACTGATAAAAAACCACATTCGATGGCACTGCACTGTAACTGCATTTCCCTAAGGGATTAGGTATAAATTCGTAGTGTTCTTGGTGCTGACGTTGCGTCTTATGAAACGTGAAGTAATTGGGACAAGCGCTTTTGAAGTGGTGGTTAGCAGCCTCGAACATTTGACGATGCGGAATCCCAAGCTCTGCTGTATGGAGACTCAACCCACACGCAACGAAATCTTGCAGCTATTTTCTAGGCATCGTTCTCTACTTTTTATATTAGCTAAATTTGCTGATAATGTGAAAGGCCGTCTTGTACGCTGAGCTCAAATCTCCGCAACGACAGAGTGGCGGTCGACGTGATTAACTGAAGCCCGATGCTTGCTGACCTCGGCTTTGAAGGTGCCGCCAAATGAGTTCGAGCAGCTCCTCCTGGTCCCATTGGATGCGAGTTTTGGCCACGATGACGGCGCGTCGAACACGATCCAACGACATGTCGCCGTCCGTGAGACTGCCGTCCGAGAGACTGCCCAGCACCAGACGCATGAGGAGGGTCGCGTAGCGGCAGAACTCCGCGTGCTCCACCATCCGGTCCTGCAGAATGGGCTCCTTCATCAGTACTTCACGCAGGCAGGACATGAAAAAAAATGGGGGATGGAAAGATAGTTCCAAGGAGGTATCCAGCTGTCCAAAAAAGCCGGTACCGATACCAACGACTCGACTCCCTAAACAAAGAACTGCCAATGTAGTGGGACTTACACTGAAGCTGTGATTTGGTGAAGAGGGGCAACTTGGCGAGCATGGAACGGACTTCCTCGGAGCGCGCGAGTCCAACGAGTCCACGGCAAGCCAAGGTGCGGATGCTGTCCGCCTCGGAGATGGGCTGAGTGACCTCCAGGTGGTGGATGAGCAGCATGAGACCGTGCTGCCGACGCACTGCCGCCCAGAGACGCATCTGACGCACCAACAGCGACGGTGGCGCCTGGGAGCGATGAGCACCGCGAATGGGTCGACAACTCTCGCCCATTGAGATTGCGACTTGTTTGCAGGGCGTTGGGGAAGCCTCTCCCGGGGGGTCATCCAGTTTCCGCTTCCTCGACGATCCAACGCCACCGCGGGCGAACAAGGAGGTGCGGTTCAGTGACGTCTAGAAAGTGGAGGTAGTTCAAGCCAATCAGGACACAGGATCGACCATCGACATGGTCCAGTGGCGAAGTCGTTTCAAGTAAACGAGTACGGAAATTCAAATTTACAAATAAACTACAAACCGACTGAATAAATCCACGACAAGAAAAAGCATTAAAAGGCATGCAAGTGTTTAGTTACTTTGGGAGATGCGAATACAGGATCGGCAGGTGGTGCCGAGTCGACAGACGAGGGGAGAGCGTGAGGAGGCATCACGCTGATCGCGAGAACGGGTTGGTCGGGGTGTTCGCGTTCGTCGATAGGGCGGTACACGAGGGTGCCGATGAAGGAGAGTATGGCCTTCTGCACCGCCACGTCCCAACTCTCGTCGTCTCGGGTTAGCGTGAAGAGCATCCTATTGGGGAGGGGAAAACGGACTAGTGAGCCACTTCAGTGGGCCCAAGGTCATCCAAAGTACCCCCACAGTCGTAGCATACTCAGACACACTGCTCCCCTCTTCAGACACTCCTACCATTCACATCAGCTATCTGACCAATCAGAAACCCGAATGCTATCCTCCAACGACCTCCATTGGTCATCTAATAAAACCATTGAGGTCCCTCTCTTCTATGTACAAGTCGTAAATAGGAAAGGATATACCAGGGCATGAGATCTTAAAAGATTTCAATACCATGCACTGACCAACAACTCCGATCTAACCACGAATCAGCAACTATATGTAACGACGACTCAAGCACGTCTACCGCAACTGGACGTTGGAATCGCCAATGCCTTACAGCAGTCCGTTGACTCGTTCCTCGGAAGACGGTTCATCCGCCAGTCTATCAATGTCGGCTTGCGGTAGAAGCGACCGACGATTAGCGGTCCTCCTAGCAGTTTGCGCCCGCGGTGTAGACGGTTCGGGGGATCGGGTGTGGGCTGGTTCTGCCGTGCCGCGGTGCAGACTCGGACGCGGGTGCAGAGCAGCCCCCGGAGCCCGCCTGATCACGACGCGGATCTCGTCGTCGTCGTCTTCCACGGCGATGTCCTCCTCCCCCTCGGAGGTGTGCGAGGAGAAGAGGTTGGAGAGACTGGCGAAGGCAGTCTCGCCGGGGTAGGAGTAGACGTCGGTGGTGACTATCTCGTCCGCCAGGTCGCTGCACAGCGACATAACGTTGAGGATGTCCACGGCCACCCGGGTGCATTCATTGCGGCCGGGCCAGTTGGCGTGGGCGTAGGCGTTGCGCGCGATTATGCGGTACAGCACGGGAATCGCGCCCAACTCCCACAGCTCCATGATCGGCGCGAAGACGGCGTCGGGGCGCATTCGCGAGACTACCAGGGAAAGGAGGCGATTCATCTGTTCGGTGGTGTAATTGATTAACTAAACAACACGGAAATAGAAATTAGGTTAAAGTAATTATCCAATGAGCATCAATTAACGTCGCGGCTCGCTTTCCGAAAAAAGCGTTTCTCAAAATCTGCCACCGGTCTGGCAACATCCACCCAACCAAGGTCACCCCTGTCAAGTACCCCTCAGTAGCACAAAATTCAAATGGTTTCTCTATTTTTTGGGTCTGAGTTGAATCGATTTATTTAAACCACTCCGCGCTCCTATTGGTCGAGCACAGTGATTAACCCTTTTTGGCGGTAACATTAAACTGCCCAATAAGCGGGCCGGAAGATCGGAAAGTAGAGAATGAGCTTCGCCCACACTTACACGGTTGCCAGCAGCTGCAACCACCTTCGGGGGCTCGTCAAACACGCCGGCCAGCGAAGGGTCCAATGTGTCCATCCAGATGAGTAGACTAATGTCCAGGTAGCGTCGAATGGTCAGCAGACTGGCACGAACCACGTGCCACGAGGTTGAATCCTTCCGCACGTGGATCTCGTCTTCCGTCAGTCTTATCGGCAGGACACACAGCTGAACCAAGAGAAGCCATTACTAGTTGGACAAACACTGGATGCTGATTGGCTGTTTAAGTGATAAGTTACAGCGCCCTCAGAGTTATAAGTTGTCCCTTTAAAATGATTTAGATGCTTGGTACTGCAAAAAAAACGCGGTTAGTAAGACTGATCGCGAGAATTGACACCAAATAGTGACTTGCGGCTGTAACAGCGCAGAGGAGTGTAAATTAGAAGCGGCATCGAGACTAATTGCAACGGAAAGTTTTGGGTAGGTGGGCAAACTAGAACCACAGGACCCCAGACTTTAGATGGTGTTGGGGAGGTCAGAATTCAACAAAACTCCCTGCTTATTGCATAAGATGAGAATTTGCGAATCGTGTTTATTTACGCTCGTTAATCCGGTCTATCCAATCACGGACACAACGTCCCCTTCACACAGCACGCCGTCAGCCAAGGGGGGACGACTACACACGACTAGCTCGGACGTTTATCCCTGTTTGCCCACCTATGACTCACGCCGTTTCACACTTCTGAGCTATAAAAACACACGCGCGAACGCCACACACGACACACCAACTTGGTTGACCTCTGAAGCAAACGGTTGTATCCGGCCTTCTTAGTCTTCGGGGGGATTAGAGTAGCGTAATTAGACCAGTTTCAAAGCAGTTGTGCCGCCGTGGTTTGAGATCACACGCCGGGAACCACAGCAACAACGATTGTGGATATGCCGCGCACACTATTTCAAATCGACTCCGCTGCAATAGCGTGGAACTTATGCCATCTGGTGGTTGATAAGCACTTTCCGGATGCGTGATCGAGAGAACTTTTCAGTCTTTAAGGTGAAATCTGCCACACATAGGCAAGGTGATCTCGTAGTTGGATTAATTCAAGCACAACCCCACACCCCTAACTAGCAAACTTAATTAATGAGCTCCAATGAAAAGACTCATCGTCCATTATATGCAACAGTAAATCAGGGTCTAAGTTATTTTCTATAAAAACCCCAAAATTATCGAGCAATTTAATTGATCCAGACGATGGCACTAATGTACTTGCAGGTGACTGTCCCCGCCCTGTCTTTTGATTGGTCCCCTCTGTCCACCAATGACCTCGAAGTACGTCCATGTGCACACGGCACAATGATACACATCACACTAGGTGGGTCTTGCCACCCTAACAACTCTCATGGGTAACCGTGCATAGGAATTGAAGCCCCGAGGTTGACTCAATCCGTTCAAGCAACATTTCCTGATTGGCGTCTTCATCAACATGGTGCGACTTACGGCGTTGTAGAGGTACCGTAGGCCCTGATGTTCGGTGAAGATGCGAAACGTCGCGCCGTAGCAGAGAGCGATGCTGAGGAAATAGAGCGCGTAGCACCTTGCCGAGGGGTGCGCGCACTCGACCAGCCACAGGGAGTACGTCATGAGTCCGTTCAACACCTTCGGCTTGAGTGTGCAGACCTGGGATTTTGTGTCAAAAAAAGAGGGTGCTCGAATGACAAAGACCCCGGATTTTTACTTGAAAAGACCACATAACTGAGAGAGGAACACCCGCGAATCTCTATTCGCATTGTGTTTTGAGAATACACTGCATTTCTCGACACACATACCCTCTCCATTGCGTCTTCGAAGTAGGCAGTGTAGTAGAGCACAACGCTGACCGCCGTGGCAGCTACGGAAGGTCGTGGAACAAGTAGGAGCAATTCCAGGCCGCGGGACTCAACAAAGTCCAAGTGGATACACCGATGACACAGGAGGTTCGCGAGAAGCCTCAGCGCCTCAAATGTTAGTCGTATGTCACGCGACGAGTAAGCCGGAGCGAGGAACTGGTAAACGTACCTAAGAACGCCTCCGTCGTACATGTAGGGCATCATCTGGAGAGGAAAATGGTCGGAAACTTGTCAAACATCCATAAATAATCAAATAAAAAGTATTTTGCAAACCCACATCTTGATACTCTGCCAACGAGGTAAGGTACGACATACAGAGACGCAGCTTCATCTCCACAGTAATCGGTTCTAAACAGAAGGAGCCCAGTCGGTTGCCGAATCCGGCGTCATTACTCGAAGTTGGGTCTAAAAAGCAAGGTGGATTAGCTGATCGTGGACCTACTTTCGGCAATCTCTCGTTCGAGTTCTGCCGTGTACGTGGCTAGCCGTCCCAGCACCACAGACACCTAAATCGACGCAAATCAGAACACCCCCAGGGAGTCGGTCTTACCAATTCAATATTTCGTTGTTTTGTAACGTAAAGTAGCTCGGCATTATCTAGAATAGACCCTAGAAGAAGTAGGGCGTAGCAATTGGTTGGTTCGGCGTCGCTGAGGGCAAGTTTATAGAGGGTGCTAATGGTGGTGTCCTAAATTGGAGCAGGTAATGTTTATTCCTAGATGTAACATACGGCCTCAGCAACTGTAAAGGATAAAGTGACGCCGAACTGGATGCTACAGAGGAGACGAGCTGCAGCCTTGACTGTGGAATTGTAGGGATCATCGCTAGCACATAGGTAATCTGCGAGACGAATGAAGAAGCTGTCATGTGAGGTAATGAGGCGTAGGAGTTGGCCCAGCTCGCAGCTTGACTCGGAACGTAGGGGGTGGCGGTCATCCAGGGGGTCCGGGTCGACGCGGTAAAAAGCGTTTATTTGCTCCTCGAAGAGTTCTGCAAACCTAGCAAGGAATTAGAAATGCAATGGAAAGCTACTTGATTAGAGTCTCGTCGGGTACGTAGCCTGCTTGATTCCTTTCGATTCGCCATTGGGACATTAATTCCTCGAATCGTTCAATAGCCGTTAGTGCTTCGTTGTGCGAAGCCATTTACGAACTAGAAAAAAAGTGACTTGATTAGATAAGGTGTGAAAAAAGTACCAAATCTCACTAAACAACTAAAAAAAGTTCAAAATAAGACAAATAATAAAAATAGAAGGGAAGACTATTTGTCCTAAATTAACTCAAATTCTACCTGGAACTTGACTTAGGTAAAAATTAAAGGATCGCTAGGATATTTTAGCGTACTTAGTATTACTTTCCAATCACATCAATCCCAAAAAATTATGTTGTTAGCATTTCTAACATATGCCTGTGCAAAAAAGAGACTCTGAAACCACGAAAAAAGGAAACAGAATGAAAAAATCGGTGTGACTATGAGCGTTTTTGAGAAAGGAAGTATTAAAAACCAATAAACATTGTAGCAAACACTATCAAACACTGAAATAAGAGTCACAAAAACAACAACCTAACCATATAAAAGTACGCCATTTTACATGCGATTATTAGCACAAGTCGGCAGTAAAAACGAGGTTTCACTATTTTATTTAAAACTAAGGAAGAGAATGATTGACAACCATTCAGACAGAGGCAACACAAACAATTATTCACTGGGAATGTAAACAATTAATGTATAAAAGTCTGCCTAGCACATAAAGCGTATTTTATAAAGCGGACATGTTAATATCGATGCCAAAAACCATTACGTAATTTTAAATCCCAATCCCTTTTAAAGAAGCATACCAACACAATGGTAGATCAAATACAAATGATTTCACATTCAAAACTATAGCCTACAAACACTATATGAAGGGAGCAACAACTTTCTCACCAAATATATTCAGAGCTTCAACAATACAAACGCAGTAGTTAATGTAACAGGGGCTCCAAGGTAAAAATTCAAATTTTTTTTCAAAAAAATACGCATGTGGCTAACATTTTGCAAAACTATGATAAAAAAGAGCATAGGTGCGACAGCACGCACCACCAAAACGGAAGAACTTACATTTATGAGTCGAATTCAAGAAATTTAACGTGCGAAATTAGGCTATTTGAGTTTCTAATGACAACTTGGGTTAGAATGCAACATGTCAATAACCAGCGGACATTTTAATCACAAGACCTAGCTGATTATCATTTAGCAAAAACAATTGCTTTTAATACTAACTAACCACATTTAAAGTAGGCTTTTCAAAACCGAACAGTAATTATGCGATGGCTTCTCATGATTTATTTAAATTATTTCACGCTTTTGGCATTTTTAAAAATAGCCAATCACAGCATAACAAATTAAATAATCCGCTAAATTAAAATGTCTTGTTAAATTTGCTTCATTCCCATTTCTGGCACTGATTGCTTGTGACATAAATGGTTATTAAAACTGTATTTATAAAAAAATTTTGCCGTAGTTTAGGTTTTTAATAGTTGCACATCGTTTTTATTTATAGCAAGATTCATAAGTAAAAAAGTCGATAATCGCGAAGCTTAAATATTGTGCCTTTTAAGAGCAAGTACTAATCTAATTTTTTTTCTTATATTTTTTAATCACCTACGTATGTTCTTGGATTTTTAATGTCTCTTCTCTTTTACAATCGTAATGCGTCGATCTTTGTTTACTGAGCTAGATACACTTTTTTCTACTTCTATTTAATCATTTTACTATATCGTGCCTCCTTTCACTTGAAATTATGCTAAAAAGCTCTGGCTAGGGAGTTAACTCAAGTAAGTACTATGTAAGACTTAAAAAAATTTTTTTTACTGGTCACCTCGAAGTAGCTATGAATTTTCCCGGAAGCTTAACCGATAATTGATTGTACTTCTTTGGATTCGCGTGAGTACCGTTGGTACAGTTTAACCTCGTGCAGAAAAGCGGCCTTTATTGCATAAAACTTCTCTTAATAAAAGGGTGGTGTTACATAGGTTAGATAATGTGTGTGTGTGCGTGCGTGTGTGTGTGTGTGTGTGTGTGTAAAGTCTACTCAGTGTACGGCTCTGACTGGAGTTGTTTAACAATGGCCTGGAAGTTGGCATTTTGCTTCTTCTGCTTCCTGTAGAGAAATTGATACCAGAGGTAGGGCAAGCCAAGCATCGAAAACCGCACTGTCAGATCAATGATCTCTGCTATCGTGTAGAGAGTTATTCCAACGTAGAGCCCAGAAACACCGCCCAATTCACTCAACAGCTGAATCATTGTGTACGCCTGATCTTCATTAACCTAAATACAAAATTACTGGAGTTAAGTACAATAAAGTGTTTAAATCGTTGTATGTGTCTGTGTCGTCTGTTAAAGTTGGCATAATGCGCCACGAAGTCAATATAAAAAAGAATTCGCAACCAATATCCACCAAGAACAGGCATTTACGCAAATAACCACATCCAAACGTGGACAAACCGATATCAGAGTCAAAATGTGGGCAAAATTTCTTTCCAAGTCGGTCTACTCACCTGATTCACGCTCTCTGAAATCGAACTAATGTCCAAGAAAATGAGATCAGAAGCACTGATATTTGCACCATGCAATTGTATGTGCGGCTTGAATGTTGAATTGGGTCCAAGTAGGCTCACTTGGTCAAAGTAAGTTATGAACCTCTCTGGGTTGAAATCCTGCTTTAGTTTCGACGAGTAGTGCATGTGGACGTGGAAATCGCGGTAGTCACAACGAAGGGGACATCCCTGAACGCCATCACCCGGTACGGTTGGAGCAACCAACTTGGCAATCTATCTTTGGATAGGAAGATACGTCAAATTACAGAGCCACACATCCCCCAGTTGTTCTATTATTTCAATGAAAAAGAATACAATTGACCAGCCCTATGCATTTTGAACAAACACCAATCTTTGACCTTCGTTCAAAATCAGGCTATCCAAGAAAAACGTAGAAGGCAAGAGGTTTGTTTGAATAGCTTCTGCTAGTTTGGCGGAAAGTTTGAATGACATGTGCATTGTGATCATTAGGCATATTGGTCGGCCTTGAGACCACGAATCAGGTAGGACATTGAACGTGAAAATTAACTGATGGCGTCAGGGCATAAGGGTGTCGGTTTGAATAGGTGATACTTACTACTATGTCGGACTGCAGGTAAAACTGTTTAATGTTAAACCGTGACAGGACAATTATTCGTCATTTCAGTTATCAACACCTACTAACTTCTCAGGGTTGATCTGTAAGAATACTACAATTTGTCTAAAAACTGATATCTAGATTGTAGGTGTTGAGAACGACCCTGCCACAAAACCTGTAAACCCGACATCGGAATTTTTACTGACTATTCACACACAGAGAAAACAGCTTCATATTTGGCCATTACGTCCTATAGTGTATGAGCTTATAGATTAAGATTGCGATATGAAAAAAAGATGGAAATAGTTTGACATGGGCGGCTGTTACATGTGTTTGTCTTTAAGCATGAAATTAGGTAATTAATTCAAGTAAATCGGAATGTTCTGTTAAGTAAGCTCATTTCCGTTTAAACTTTCTGTGGTTTGGTCACCGTTGCTACGGTAACTAGAGTAATCAGGATATTTGAACACTGAGAACAGCGGCACACACACACGCATTTATGGAAGGAAAAGTCCCCACACAGAACAACCGACGCAGACAATCCCTTTTTATAGGTATTTGTCAACTGGTAAATTAACTTGCCTCTGCATCGGTCATGTTTTCAACGCCATTCACACATTCGATGATTTCGGACATCCGGATGACGTTGCTAGACGTCTGTTCTACGTCGTGACAATAAGCGAGACCGACTTGTCGCCAGCTATAGGGGATCGAGTAGGACTCCGTGAAGCAGCCACAGCGTTCCTTCGTCAAAATCTGGCGAAGGTTTGCCAAACACGACTGTTCAGTGTACTCAAACTCAGTCAGCGTCTCATCTTCCTTTGCTACAACAAATTAAACACAAACTCTTCGAGGGTAGAGAAGGGTGTTGCGGATTTGAGCAATTCCACCACTCTAACCTTTGTCGGACTTGAAGTTGCTGTCTGACTTGCGGTCGTGCCTGGCAAGTTGAATCATCGGGAGGTCACGTGAGAAGACACAGGGTCGTCGCTTGAGGTTGACGGAGTTCACTTCCTTGGAGGATAGGGCGATTCGCGTGAAGTAGCCATAACGCAGGGCTATGCCATTGGGCAGATTCTGCTAACATAATTCACTTGTGGTGAGCTACTGCGCAAGCTTCCTGTGTGTTCGATTTCAGATGCTTCCCTCCTGGCTACTCCCGTCAGTGGCATTAAAAGTGGTCATTTTTTTTTCATTTTAACTTCATGTTTTGTTTAGAAGCGACAGTTAGGTGCCTGGATCTCCTTTCCACTAAAACGCCAGCCCGGATTGGTTGATTAATAGTAATTGACGAATCACTGTCTTCGGAACCGACCAATGAAAGTCAAAGGCGAATATTACATCAGTGGCAAACACTCTCCCTCCCGTATTCTGCCAAACAATTAAACTATAAAATTGTGGACAAAGCGCAGACATTCTTTTTGTATTTTTTTAGTTAAAAATAGGAAAACTTTTTGGGCTGACTTTTGATTTGATAAAAATACACAAACAAAGATATTATTGAAAGAATTACGAAAAAATGGTCGAAAGTAGCCGAAATTATTTTTAATTTTATGCTTCGTTCCGAAACGACATTAAGGTGCCTGGATTCCCTTGCTGTCAACAAGCTAGTCCGGATTGGTGGATAAATAAAATTAATCAACGAATCACTGACTCCGAAATCGACCAATGAAAATCGAAGGTGGGTGTTACATTAGCTGCAAGCGGGTTCCCTTTTAAATATTGTCAAACAATTTAAGTACAAAATTATGCACATAGTATGGACATTTTTCTTGGATTTTTTTGGTAAACATCCGAAAAGCGTCTTCTGCTTACTCTTAGTTTGATAGAAATACAAAGACGAAGATACGAATTAAAATAATTACGAAAAAAGGTCCCCAGTACGCATGTGGTACGGCCAATTGAGTCAGCAAATCAGACTAAAGTGCTCTGCCTATTCTCACCTGCAAAGGGTAGTTGGGAAATGTCCGATGTTCATGAAACGCCACGTAGAATCCGTCCTTGTCGACGGCGGCGTTGTTCGACGTGGAATCGGGCCGCAGTTGGCTCTTGTCTAAGGAGGGCACATTCGATTGGACGATGAAAGGCTCGTCTTCGTCGAGAACCAACAGTGGCCGAGCGTTCGATGGGCCCCGATGAAGCACCAACTGAACCCCGTGGGTGGCTCCTGCGGGAACCGGGGGTGTGTACCGCAGTCGCAGCGTGAAACAACGATAGTAGACAGGGTGCTCTGTGACTATGAACTGGTTCAGGCAATTAACTCCATTCAGCTGTTGAAAACAACTGCCTGCTGCAAGTACTGACTCTCTGGAAGTTAGTGAATATATAGCTTCTGTCTGCCATAACTTACCTCACAAAAAATGACATGATCGAACACACTTTTGCCAATATCCAAGGAATTGCGATAGAAATAGCCAAGCAGACTTTGTTTTATCTTCGCGTTGGGGGACATATTTAGAAAGTCTGGTTTGCGCCACCACTTCTCCCTCGCCTTGGTGTAAACCCGCTCGAAATCCTCTGACGAGATGTTGTGTTGGTAGAGGTGAACATCGGTGAATGGACTGTTCGGACACAGTGTGATGTCGGGTTGCAAAAAATCCATGTTTTCGTACTTAATGGCGGTCACAATCGGGTAACTGAGGTATTGTTTGATGAGGTGACTCGTGTGAACGCAAAACATGATAGAACAAAGCAGAACAACACACAGGTAGTAGAACCGTGTTCTTCCTGCTGTTGTGGACAAGTGGATGGGCCCGTGCAGGGTCGTCGTGCCGGCAAAGTCCATCCAAACTACCCACCGAAGTTGCCGTAAACGCGAGCGAGCGTCGTTGCGCCGCCGTCTGTATTCCCTCTCCCTTTCGAGAGCGTCCCGTGCATCACCAACTGCCGATGTGTTGGTGTCTTTTGTCTTATTCCGTCTGAACCACTTCCACAACCTCTCCATGCTTAGCTGTGATATCGATTTTCGCAAATTGAAGTTTAAACACGGTGGACGTGCGGTAACGTGCGACTGGTTATTAACTTGTGTTAAATATTCGACGACCAAGTTCGGAACCCCTATTATTCTCAGAATTACTTTTTTTTGTAAATCTGATCGTCGTAAACCTAGATTGTCAAAGTGTACAGAGTAGCTTGATGGATTTCAATCAGGGTGCCAATTGTTGGTTTGGTTGACAATTAAGTGAAAATCGTTTCCTTGATTCTACTTCCTCATTGCGTTCTTAGTCTTAACACCCTATGAGATTGCATCACATCATGGCAGCACGCATATCTGACGTGATGAGATAGGATCTCATGATGAAACGATGCTAAGGCTGTTAGCATTCTCCATGATGTCACCTACTTCAGTGATTTCAAGATCTGCAAGCGTTCCATTCACACTCTTGCTTTGGCTACATCACTTTAATGGTCACACTGAATCGTCGTGCGTTCTGTGTCACACCCATGCTAACCCACCGTGACGAAATCAGGCAAGACGAAAATTCAGGGTGATAGCAGATAAGAGCTGCCGAGTTCGCGTCGAATACGGATTGTTTAAAGTCAAGATTCGTTCCTAGCCTGAGTAGGAATCGAAACTGGAATGAAGTAACCCACTCAGACTGGTTTGTTAAAGAGTTCGAAAGGGTGGAACATTGGTGGTGGTGTCAGGAAGGCGTGTATAGATATGGGCTGCAGTTTCTATTGAGTTACTTAATGAAAATTTGAAGGCCACTACATTGATCACCTCATCTGTACTCTTGTGATCACATATTTTAAACCAAAAACACGTCCACGAGATTACAAGTCGAGTTAGTGCAACGGAGCAATGTTTCATGGATGAACGAGAATTTGGATCATGTTTTGTGTGATTAGAACTATCCAGATAACATGCCTGAATTGTGATTGGATTAAAATAAGGGTCAGGCGTCACGTTACCGTTGACGTTGCCGATGATCTGGCTCCTTATGTAAACCAGATATTTCATATGGCGAGATCAACGGTTGAATTTGGTAGACGTTACGATTTATTCACATCGAGGGGATGGTTGTACAAATAATCATTCAAGGGATGCTCATACACTGCCAAGAGAATTGAATTGACGTTCCTAATCACCGAAATGAGAGTTATCAGACAGCTGGTAACTCGCGGAATCATGATTTCTTCCCTTTCAAATCCATTTTTCCAGATATCGTTGGTTTGATCCAAATCCGTGCAGATAACTTGTCTTTTGTGGTAAGGTTTCAGAGAGTTACACAAACTCTCACAACTACCAGAGATGTCGATGGCAACTGATACACACCACATTCGACAGTACTGAATTGTAAATGAATTCCTGCGAGAAAAAAATGCTTCTACAGCATGGGTATAAGTTCGTAATGTTCTTAGTGCTGACGTTATGTCTTATGAAACGGGTAATGTTTAAAAACGCTTTTGAAGTGCTGGTTTTGATCTTTGTGACCAGCCAAGCCCCACCCTTCATAGAAACTCAATGCATACGCAACAAGATCTTCCAGCAGTTCAGTTAGGAGTCACTCGAACGGTTATTAAGAGGCGATTGCGCCACTTGGAAGTTGGATCCCAGCAAATGTGCTGACCTAATGCAACCCAGGTCAACATGCGAACACATGCCCATCGCTGCTTGCCTGCCGGCAACAAAAAACGACTTTTTGCGCAAAATTGGGACTGGTGATGAAAAGTAAGCCTTTTGTTACGAGAATTCCTAACGGAAATTCGTGGACAGATCCATAACAGGGCATCCACATGAGGAAGAAGGTTCTCCTGTTTACCTAGAAAACGATAGACACTATTCCCAAGATCAAGGTCGCTGTCGTCGATTTGTTTAAATTAAGTTACTTAGCACAAACAGACGGTTAACTGGATTTTAACGATGCCCAGAATAGAGTACGCAATCTAAGATGAGGCACCAAGCGTTGGTTTATTTGGCGACTACAAAAAGCCTTGTAGATCCCATGTTACAGGTTACCATAGGAACTAAAACACATCCCCATCCAGTCAGATTGTTTAAAAAAGTTTGTTTACATCGATAAATAGTTTTTGGAAGGGACCTCTTCGTCGTGTTTCGACGACATAAAATCCATGTTTCGGTAGAAAGTTGCTTTTCTTTTTTTAACGTATTCAAAGTCTAAAGCCATTGTTAATGATAAAATTGCATAATTTTTTTTAAATTTTCAAAATTGTAACTACATATCTGAAAAGACACCAATGGGTACGAGACATCACCACTACCGACTTTATTGCCAACTCACTTGACCAGTAGAAATTGCATTAATATTATGTTCCTGTTGCTGAGCACTAAGGAATCCTTTAGGGTCTAATATTTCTGTTGAGGAAAAAGTTATGCCCATTCTGAAGGAATCCAGATGTTGTAATTTGGTTAAGCACGCTGTCACGTTTGAAGTACACAAAACGCCTGACCCCTAAGAGTTAGAAGCGACCAGCGGCGGCGGCGGCGGTGGTGATGGTGGGATCTCTCACCACGCCCTTGCATCCAAGAGCTACCAAAGCCGTCGGCAAAAGGGAGCCGCTAGTTAGGAGGGGAGATGATAGCGGGGCGGAAGTCCCGGTCACAAGTATCACCGATTTGCGCGCACAACACAAATTTCACGACGACTGGGGGTAGTTTACAGACAGACACCCCGTCGGCACCAACATGTGCTGTTTCCCGACAAAGAACACAAACGCGCTACGCCACAATGTGGTTTCGTACTAGAATCAAGGTTCATTCCCGTTAAAGTTCCGTTTTAAACAAATTTTTGCCGTTTTTTTGAATCCAAATGGTCTTGAACAAGATGTTAACATCACGGATTTTTACAATCTACAGGAGCATCTAAGCCAATGGCCTGATTCAGCCAGTTAGGGCAATTCAAACGCATCCACTAAGTTTACGGATGTGGTCTGGTGGGGTTTGTAAGTTCTATTTCGACGTGGCGGCGTGATTCGGTGAAATGTCGTGAATGAATGGAGTTTTCGGTGTCAATACGGGTCTTAGTCCCTGAGGGCTGAGGAAGAGCCGTTAGCATGACTGAGACGACTGGGGACGCTTCGTTGTCCAAAGATAATCCAGATGATTAGTCGTTGCTGTAAGATGCTTAATGTGGGTTAGCCGACGAGGATTAACGCGAATCATCAATTTAAGTCAATAACTGTTTGATTATCAATTATCGATCAAATATGCCGCCCAAGTCATGAAACGGTTACGACGTAGCGATAATGTCGGGAATGAAAGTGGATTAGGAGCGCGGAAAATGATGTAGGCGACTGGTAGCGACTGAACAAATTTAAAAAAAAAACGCGTAAGAAGATTCGGCATTCACGTAGGACGAAAGACCACACAAACGAAGTTAGATGGTTACTATTTCAACAAAAGATGCTTCCACGTCAACCACGGCATACAAAATGCCCTTTTGACTCGGGAACTACGTTGGCACTAGGGCTAAAGTATCAGGGTACTCTGTTGTTCCTGGTCAGAAACGTCGACAAAAATCATCGGAAAGATCTTTCCAACGCTTACTATTCGACCGACCACCGCTTCAGGACGAAACACCATCCAACAGCCGCGAAACCGCCCCACGGAGGCATTAGACCCGATGAAACTGTTTCGGGATTACGCAGTCAAGTAACGTGGGTGCTACTGCTTGCATTTCCAAAAACTAACAGTCCAAACGTGACCTAGTACCACAGCATTTGGACGTAGGCAGCGCTAGTTACCAAGGTGCGTGGACGTCTTGTGAGAGATTTGTGGAAATGGGTAGCCCGAGTTGTACCTGAATCCACATTTCGACGAAGACAACAAAAGGAGCCAGTTAACAAAGTCAAAATGAATTGACGCGTAGGCGGCGAACAGCAGATCAAGCGAGCTAAACCCGTTAATACCTATATACACGATTTTCTTCTTGCTGTTGTAGGCGAAAGAGAAGGCGTCCAAGAGGAGGGTGGATCTACCCTAGAGACCCGTGGATCGACTGGTCTCCCCCTCAAGCATGGGGCTGGCAGTTCTGCCACCGGCGGACCCTCGGCTGGTCGGTGCGGATGGCGAGGTGCTGGAGGTGGTCACAGAGGAGACACCGAGGGTTGCATCGAACTCGTTTCGAAACTCCGCCAGCACCTGCTTTCGACGCTCGAGTTCCTCATCCGACGTCGTCGTGCACAGCTCAACCTCCATGACCTCGTCATAATCATTCGACTTCTGGAATTGACCTTCCTGCAGACGCTGCTCCAGACGTCGGCGCACCCAGTCGTCAAAGAGCGCCTCGTAATGCGCCAGCCTTTCCCAATTGTTCAGCTTGCGGTAGACCCGCTGGAGGCCGCGGTAGTCGTATTCCAGTCCACTGTAGGATGGACCAAACAAACTCAAGCCTAAATGCAAGGCGGCTTAGTGTTGGTTCGGTTGGGAGACCTCTAACCACGCTAAAACCTCAACTTACTGATTTGAATGGATCGCAGGTAGAGGGCTTCGGCTTTTTCGAAGAGATTCATGTGGTAGTTGTAGAGACTGGCCAAGTGACCCACACTCAGAGCCACCTCGAAGTCGTTGGGACCGAGCAGGCGCTCCTTGATCATGATGGCTTTCAGGTGCATCCGTTCGGCGATCTACAAAGAACAGAATACACATCACACGAGACCACGGCTGTCTAGAGGGAGTTTCAAAGAGCGCTTTTCGCTATTTTGCACTTCAGTCACCACCGGAGTTTCGCACAAGACAGTTTGAAAACGCGTCACTGCGAAGGGCTAGTTGCACAAAAGCCTGGTTTTATCGGAGGTACACCTCATCGAATAGGAGGGAACGATTTACCCGAGTAGGTTAGTTGCATAGCAGGCAAAATTATCGAAACACCTACGTCTACCTTGGAAGCGTCTGGCTGGGTGTTTCACCTCCGAGTATCTGACAACTTTATTTCACTGCTTTCCAACTGTTCAACAAACACCAAGGATGAAATAGACCGCCTACTGTGTAAACGTGCTCAACAAGTCTGCTTCAACACCACAAAAGAGTCCCAAGTTTATCGATTTTGTTAGAACGGGTTGAGCTCACTGACTCATCGCTGGCAGAACCAGGCCAAGCCCACACGCAAACGGGCGTTCCACTCTACCAAGAGTCAGTTGGCGATTCTTGAGAGGCAATGAAACGTCGAAGGCGACGACGGATTGAAGAATTGACCCTCCACAGGACATGAGACACGGTGAAAACGCGGGATTACATGATGATAAGAAAAGAAACCGAACGAGAGGCAATGCGTCATCCAAGATTTTGACAAAGCTAGATTCACACGCGGAGCAGTTGACGAACACAGGATGTCATTCGCTGCTGCTGGAACAGTGTTCTGAGTTGAGGGACTTCTAAAACCCTGTTACTACGGAATTAATAGTTCAAATAATGCCAATGAGACAAAGAACACGCGTAGCCCCCAAAAGAGTATCATAAAAAAATCCACAATTCAGTTCGACAATAACACAGCGAAGTTGACCAATCAATGGCGGCGATTCAGGATCAAATTTTGCCAAATTTCGGGCAAAGAGAGAAGGCACGTCACATGACATCGACGTAAATGAAGTCACCAACATGTAGAGGTCAATTTCATGTTAGTTTACATTCCCGAATGCGACAATTTAAGTTGCATGATATAATGACACTTGAGAGTAGAAAAATTGGTAAAGTTAAACACTTCAAAGAAGCTAAAAGTCGACAAGGAGGAGGTAGAATTCTCAAAACACAGCCTCCACAGGTGTAGAAGACCCGAGCACTAATAGTAAAAATACCGGTACAACAGAACGGGCTTTATTGA